CTTCGGTCAAGGCGGTCAAGACCTTGTACTCCCATTCGTGATGGATCTGAACACCGTGAACAGCTCAGCATGGAACCTGACAATGGACCAAACCGGAAGAGGATTTTCCTCTAAAACCCAGTGGTTTTCAATGGTTTTCAGATTCCATGTAAATCTTCCAGGGCACAAATCAGCCCAGCGAATTTCGTCTTGCATCTTCCATGCTGCGCCTAATCACCGAGGAAAAGGACACTTTTTTTCGCTTCCCGCACGCGACGTCCCAACCTCCGCGAAGGCTGAGAAGGCCAACACATCATCCTCCAAGCCGACCAAGCTCTGGATGCTGGCCGACGGCCAGCGCTGAATGTTCAGCGCACCACCGGGAGGGGCGGAGGCTGCACGGTTGGGCACCGGCCATTGAACAAAAAGGCTACATCCTCACTACTGAGTCATAACCGAATAGGCCAATTAGGTCTGATTAGTTGATAGGGAAATGTGGCAAAACTACATGACACCCAACCATAAGAACTCTGACTGGCAGCATCCTGTGCAATCCTGTGCAATCCAAATCGACCTCCTGATTCCCAAACCAAATCGACACCATCCTCAAACCAACACCATCCTCGACACCATCCCTCGCTACGGTCGGGCCGGAGGCCGTCGGACCACGACGAGTGAACGCGCCCGCTCCGGTCGCGGACGCATCGTGGGCGCACGTCCAGTCCGTGCCGGCGATGAGGCCTTCGAGGCCTTGGACAAACGGCAGCGGTGCCAGACCGGGAGCCCTTCTGGATGGCGATGATCCGAAGACCAGGGAGGGGGGAGGTTTTCCACTCACTCACTGCATGAAAGCAGGTGGAACTTTGAAGGGTATATCATATATAAGCAAGGAATGGGTACGTCTTGAGAAAAGCCAGGGCTGTCATTGTTCCATGCTGGCTCCTCTGTGTCCTCTTGTGACTGAGTGAGGATGCCCAAAGCTTTGTGGGTAACTCTGGGAATGGCTTGCTATGATCTAGACGTTATACTTCCGGCCTTGGTTGTTGCTGCCATGAGCCACATGAAAGCATATGAAATCTTGGATTCCTTCCATCAACATCAAGGCATGTTTGGAGCGCAGGACCTCAGGAGGTTTTTGATATTTTCTGAACAGGAACCTTGAGTTAAGATTGATTTCTACACCTAAATCCTCAACAGATTGACTTTTGGAGAGGCTCCAGAGCCTCGCCACAAGCAGGTGAACTCAAGCTCGCAAGGTCCGACTCAATGGATCTAAAATGTAGAAGGAGACCTGTTGGAGATGTAGAACTCCAATTGATTCACCCAATTGGGAATCCTATGTGCAGAACACTACAGCCAAGGTATTTGAAAGCCACTTTGAGGCTGGACACTGCCCTTTTTGTTTGGGTCCCTGGGAAAAATCACTTGCAGAACAAACTCCGGTGACTCCCATTGTCATACCAACTCCGGTGACTTTTTGGAGTGGAGGTCTCGACGGAGGTTCGAAACGGAGGCTGCCTCGGGACCTTGGAATCCTGCAACAAAGGTTGAGCCCAGCATATTCCAACTTTAGTGCTTAGCTGCTATAGCACATTATCTTAATAAGTCTGAACATACAACTTGCTTGAAGAGACTGCATGATAAGACGTATTAATATATATATATAGTATACATATTATATATATACACATTGTCTTAACATACAAAAACGTTCTCATTGCTAGAACCCTTTCGATCAACTCCGCTGAAAGAACACATCGACAAGAGCAAGAATATCATCGACAAGAACACTGGAACTCCAGATGTTCCAACGCCATCGCTTTCACCTCCTCGGCCTCCACACCACAAGGCATAAGGCCTCACATCGCTGAAGAGAAGCGTCGCACCGTGACGTATGTTTTTCTTTTTTTGGCACCAGGTGAACTTGGCTCAAACAAAATGCGGAGAAATTCCATTTGGGCCCAAAAGGCTGGCTCTGTGTTATCTGCCCAAAAATCAGTTTCTGGATGGCCCAATGGTCTCAGGGGTACTTAACAATACAAAAATATCAAAAGGGATTTCCAATGATTTCCAGATAAATCTCCTCACAGTTTGACCCTCATTGCCTGTCCAATCCTATGTGATGCAGAAGTGTTTCTCACCACCGACGGAAACCACCCGTCGGGGTTTACCCTCCGCGCCTTCCACCAGCATCTCCCGATCACCGTGGCGCCAGGACACAACCCGGGACCCTGGCAAAGAGACCTCAGGAGATACGCTTTCGATGAGGGAGCCTGTCGAACCAGACTCGATTGGGTCAGCTGGAAACTTCAACATACGCCCCACCATAATGGAGGTGCCCGTCTACCTTCTACTGGGGGGCCACCCTGTTTCAGGTTGACATCTTCCCAATATCCAAGCCGCTGGACTTGGTTGCTGGAGGTGAAGCGATAAGAACCGTTGCTACAATGGGATGTCAACCATCAAGTGCCAAAGCGCCAAGAGATGCATCTGCCTAATTGGCCAACATCAAGCGCCCGGACACGCACCCGCATCCATTTCTCACCCCGTGTTTTGTTCCCGCACGTTTCCGCACCTGGCATAGAGGCCCAGTGGGGTGGTTCATGGACGCCATTGGAGTCCCATCCTCGGTGCAATCTTGGTCCCTAAAAAGCATGTTTCAGATTTGGAATGGCGCGGCTGTCACTCAAAACCGCGATACTTGATTAGCTAACTTGCTCAATTCCAAAAGAGAACAACCATCTACGTTTCATTGGTTTGATCAATATGATGATCAACCAACGCAGCTCAACGAACCAAAATGACCAGGCATGCCAACCATATGAACACTGAAGAGGGATGCCGACCTGACCACTCAAGCAGAAGCCCTACATGATCACCGAGCAAAGCCATCAACCCATGGCCCCAAAAGGAACCAACATGCTATGCTTGCAATTTTGAAGAGTTTGCAGGTTGCCGTCCTGCCAGGAAGATGCACCATTTCTGCATCTCCGACACCACCAACAGGATGTTCCAGGTAACTTATATATTATACTGCTCATTGAAAGGATCTAAGTTTTATGACCAGTTGAAGTTCCATGCTTTCCAATGGCTATAGTTATGCGGCGCTTCATGCTCTGGGTAGTTGTACCCACTCTTGCACCTTACCGCAAGGATCATCTATACCAAGACCCTATATAATAAAGGATCTCTAATGTTTAAAACAAATTCAACTCTGATTTTACAACTAGCAGCCCCTTACAAGTAGAGGACAAGAGGTGTCCATTCACCACATACCACCCTGGCTCGTGGCTCCACCCTCGCTCCCTGAGGGCCACCACTGGGCCCAGAGACACTGAGGAATTTCCGGCCTCACACAGCGTATGTGGGGCACGAGAACAAAGGCAGCAAGTTGGGCGAAACCAAAACACCAGTTGGGCGAAGCCAGAAAACCGTTTCAACGTTTGACGGTCCGTGTCTGGGTCTTGCTGGAACCAGGGCCCACGGGAAGCTGAGAAGTACTTGAGCCTCAAATAGACTGACAAACCGACAAACCTAAAACCTGGGGTTCCCTCGTAAACCACATCCAAGTTGACCAGACTTTCCAAGGCGGTAGAGGACGCTACGAACGGGGCTCCTGGCATCGCTATGAACGGAGGGACGCTACTAGGAGTCTTTTCGCGCGCGCGCGCGCGCCAACCACTCCACTAATTAGTTAGAGCGTTCAATGGAAACTTAACAGAATGGTCCTGGTGGGGCTGGAGTTCGTTGAAGATTGAGAGGACCCCTCCAAACCGTCCAACGAGATCTAAGCACTTCACCAGCAAACTCTCCAGTGGCCGCACCATGGCAGCCATGGCGGCTGCCCTTGGGAGGTTCCACGTTTCTCAGGCTGATGCAACTTCGAAGACTGCCAGTCTTCTGGGCAGCCAGTCTTCGTGGATCTTGCTTCATTCAGTTGTGGTCTACATGAAGCAAGCTTTCTCTTTGAGGCGGCATTCTTGGGCTTTCCTTTCCGTAGGCTTGTGCCTGAGAAATGTTCAAACTCCGCCCTCACCTGGCATTCTGTGCGCGTCTTGAACCATGTCGCCGGCGGAACAAACACAGCTCCCGGTGAAGGAGCGATGTATCGTCCAGCTGCGGGAGAGTTTGCCTTTCACAGCATCGTCCTTTCCAGCGCCATCGTCCAATGGGTGATGGAATTTCTCGTGCATCAACTGGTGGACTCAAACGGCTTTGGCTTGGGAAAGAACACACACAAAATAGTGCAAAGTGTAGCCATTCAAACCTTCAAACCCTTTGTATCCCTTTGTCAGTTATTGAGGCATGCGGTATGCAGATAGAGTTGCTGAGTGGCCTGGCTTCTCACGGCTGGCTTCTGCAGCAATCACCACGGCGAAAAACACGTCACTCGTCACGCCTCTTTGTCACCCAGCGTTCTTCGAAGGGTCCTCATTGGGGCGAATGGCCTGGCGTTCCGGTTTGAGGATCGACCGATGGATGGGAATATCCAAAACTTCATGCCAACCCCCCCCCAAAAAAGGAGTTATTTGGAAGTTGGGGACATTGAGGCGTGTGAGGTTCTCCGGGATGAGTTTGGCATCTTTAAGCATCTTTCTGTGTCGTTTCGCAGAGTGAGCAAGCCGCAAAAACACCAGAAACTGTCACACATGCACGTGGCCGAATGTTGCTTTCTCCATGACCGGTTTCTTTCTCTAACGTACCTCGACCGCCGCACAGGCTCAGGGCCGGTTTTCTCCATTCCGACCTTCCCAAGACCGTCGCCATCCTCACTTGTACAGCTAAGGATGGCCGCGGCGATCGCCGGTGATCGACCATTCCTTCCAGTGAAACACCGGTCTGACCCGGTCGGTCCGACCCGGAATCACGAACAGCCATGCAGGCGAATTAAATGCAATCGCAACCTAAAGATGAACAAAAGCATGTTTGGAATCGTTGCATGTACGTGTAAATACTGGAACCGAACACCTACCAGGTACATAGCTCATCATTCATAGCTCTATGGAGGCTCTGCAGGGCAGCTAGTGGCCCTTCAAACTTCGTTGACACAGTGACCGTCCAAGGCGGTCTGCGGTGCACAAGAAACGCGGGACATGACCCAAAGCAGCTCCATCAGCTGTGCAGGCCTCGGTCGGTCAAACTGGCGAGTGTCCATCCATTTCCGGCCCAGGAAGCCAATTCCGGGAAAAAACCAGATGGAAGTGAAACTTAGCTAAAAAGGAGAATCGAGTAGAAGTGAAATGATGCAGGAGGTTGTAGGCTAGATAGATTCAAAGGTTGGATGAGAAAAACCTCACGGGTTTCTGCACATCACAGCTCCGACCGTCCTTCTGAACCGGACCCGGCGGTTGTATTATATGTGCTTTGGCCCCGGTTTGGGGCGTCAGGGAATGGATTGACTCTGCTTTACCAGAATGAGCATTGACCACAATAAAAACTTCCATCCACATCACGTGCCCTTCCAATTTGTGTTACAGCCAAAGGATGTTCCTGGTAGCCCTTGCTTTTGGGCTCACGGCAAGGTGTTCACCTTTCTTGACAGAACGTCCTTGGCGTCCACTCTGAAAGTTACCTTTTGAATCCTTTTGACGGGTCCAACCACCACTCAAATTGAAGCTGACAGCATTATATAGGCTGCACTCAAACTGAAAGCCTGGACCACTCAAGCTGTGTTGGACGCTCCCAGCTGACTGCCAGGAAGCATTGATCAGCATCTCGCAGCTGATAATGTTCCCCTGCTCCATCAGAGTCAACGCGTGCGGCCAATGCGTGGCACGATGACAGCTGGAGATGCTGCTGCTGTGCGTGATCACATCAGGCCGACACCCTGAGGTGCAGGCATGCCGGCGCCGTGGCGCACGCGAGCGCGCACGCGAGCGCGACCTGGTGGACACTATGTGGGCAGTTGGGATGGTGCCAAAGACCAAGAAGAAGGGGGTTCCTGAGCAGTGGAACTCATATGGAGCATCAAAACCTCTTGGCACTCAACAACTGTCAACATCAGAACTCACACATTACGGCAGGTGCTCGTCTAACTGGTTCCGCAGTCACAGGTCATCCCCCAGTTGTCATGCTGCTGACAATGTCCCGACCGAGTAGCGGAAAACCATAAAAAGTAATTACCCTTCAGCAGAGCGCTGAGGGCCCCCAAATGCGGTAGTGCTTGGAATTACCGCTGGTACCAGCACATACACCAGCTCCTCATGCATGAATTTGTGGAAACTCCACATTCCGTTGGACCCCGGTGGCTACACCCGGCCACATCCGCCAGACCCACCTAGACTGCGCCTGCGAGTTGGGCGGCATTCAGGAAGCTCAAGGCCATGGCCCATCCCAGAAACGTCTCTCCACAGGCACTGATCAGACCTCATCTTTGTCCAGTCTCACACATGTGCAATGTGTTTGAGCCGGGCAGACAAGGAATCGGCGCCGTTTGGTTGCTTTCCGTTGCAAGTCTAGAGTGACACGAAACCTGCTGCATGCTTTCATACTTTTGCCCGAAGTCCGGTTCTATTTACGTTTTTTTGCACCACCGAAGCGTTCAGGAATTTCCGTTTCGGATCGCCTAAAAGACATATTGTCTTAATACAAATGGTCGATTGGACTCGCAGGGTTGCCAGTTGCACTGCAGGAACTGTGACATATTCTGAACCATTGGATTAGATTCCCGGGCACGATGAGTTGTTGACCAAAACCAACGAACCAACTGCGGTCTTGGCTTGCCCGACCGGACTGGCCGAGGCAAAGGCAGCGAGTCGAACGGTTTCAGCATGCGATCGAGATGCTGTTGTAGGTGATGAGGCTTGGTGCCACTCTGCCCAGATCCATCTCTTCAAGCGATTTCAGTGCAGTACACCAGTGACGATCCTTTGCTGCAGCACTGATCAGACCTCAGGTGCACAAAAAGAACACACTGGCAGTGTTGGGGTGGTTCAGCTATATGCCAAATTGTATGTGGACAATGTGGACTCTGTATGCAGAAATGGAAAGAAGAGAGGGGGGCGTTCCCTTCAATGGGTTCACATCTCTGGACCGTCAAGTGAAGACCGAAGCCTCTGCGTGAGGGTCCGCACATGGCTGGAGGACCGTACCATGAGGCAGTGAGAGCTTGCTTGGGTTGCCGGGTTCAGCCACGTGAGCAAAGATGCATCGCAAGCAAAGAGGCAAAACCGGCAAAACCCCAACCCCTCCGAGATCTTCCAAGTGTCAAACGACGTCCACGCAGCCCCACGGAGATGGGGGGTCAAATACTACTCCATTGGCAAGTAGTTGAACAACCCTCTGAGGTCTTCTCCCGGAAGGAAGACTTGGGTGCTGAAGTCACTCTCCACCATTGTGGTGGCCCATGGCTTCTCATCCGCCAAAGCACTGCTGAAGGTCAAGACGTCTGGGGAAAGGCGGCCCTGCTGCAGCAAGCAGTTCTGGCCATGCATGGCGAGAGCGGTGGATGGTATCAGCAAGTGGTTGAACGACGCCCCATCTGTTTTAGGTCTGGGGTCTGGGCACAGGAACCGCTATTTGGGGTGCCGAGCTGTGGGCACTCTACTTTGGGCTACGTTGAAATCAGCTTTGGGCTTCTCAGGGTTCTACTCAGGGACCTACTCGCGGCTCGCTCCTGTCCGAAAAACCTCAGGACCACGTCCGAATAACTGGGGAGAGCACTGAGCAGTCAGAACTTCGGTCCAGGCTCCATCAAGAATGTCTAACTCACCACAGTACATCCACCCCCACAGAAAAGAACAGGTAAAGAACTAACTTCGATCACAAAATCTCACCTAATTTCCCAATATAGTTTTGCCACCCCCGTCTACCAATAGCTCAGAAGATCTTTGGAGACTTTCTTCACCAATCCTCACGTGGCTGTTCTACCGGTGGCACTCCTTGAGCTTCAAAGCGAGGTCCAGCTGACCGCCCTTCTCACATGCACTGATGGCCTCATCCGGTGGGTCGGACAACGGTCCCGGAGCGAAAGCAAAGAGAAACCGCGCCACATGCGGCCACGTCGCCACAGCTGGAGAACGAAACAGTTCAAGCACTTAGTGAAAGAGTTCAAGCTCGGGGAGTCATCTCTTTCCTCTCAAACCCAGCAGCACGGCAACGTGCTTCAAGCCCAATCGACCAAAGGACCAACATGGAGGAGTCTTCCGGGGTGCAGTGCAAGGACCCAGAACTGTACAATTCACGGAGTCATCAATCTTCGCAATCTTGAGAAAAACTCCCTGGTACCAAGTCGTTTCATGAACTTTCCATGAAATGAGACCTGATCAACTAAAACACAAATATATAATTGACTTTGTTGCAGCCAGGTTCGACTCCCCTAAGGCGATGCGCACTTGAGGTGATGCGTGAAAAAAAAACACCGAGTTGCACTATTGAAGCTGAAGAGATCTGGCACCCTTCCAGAAATCTCCAGAGTGTTGAGAAGTTGCAAAGCCAGCTCCCAGAATCCGGCCGCTTCAGACACGCTGATGCTGCTGCTGAAGCTGACGACATCCTCGACCGGACCGGTGGAGCTGAACCGCCCCGTCGTCCAAAGGCGGCACTCACCGGTGTCAGTTAGAGGTCGTTTTGGCGTGTGATACTGCCGACTGAATCCTCAGCCATAAGCAGCCCCAAAACCAAACAAACCCTATACATGTTTGTCTTATCATTTCTTCAGTGCAAAGACACCGCTTTAGACCGATGCCGCCTCAGCGTTGGAGTCACGTCGTGCTTCGAGATCGGTGGACCGACGGAAGAACACCTCGTCACCTCGCCGGCCTGGGGCCGCGGTTTTCCACCGCCGAAACGGGGTTGAAGCAACGGAAGACAGGCCATCGTTCGGAAAAAAAACAGAAACACGGCCGTGAATCGGAAGGCATCTTTCTTTGTTCTTCTTTGGGAAAAGAAGGCCAGTTGAATGGTGTCGCTTGCTTCAGCTTTCGCTTGCTTCATGTGTCCCTCCCAAATGGGGCATCTTTCGGAGGTTCCCCACGGTGATCGGATTTTCCACTCAGCACCGCCGGGCGTCTGGTGGTGCTTGCGCTGCCGCCATGGATTCCAGAAGGTTTAAGGCACATGCCCAGCTCCCGCGTGGCTCACACACGCAGATGGCGCTGTTGTAAGTCACCGTCGTGGGAGATAGCCTCGAGAGTATTGGCCCTTTACTCCAAAAGCTCACATGTGATGAAAAGAATCGTATGCTGTATGGTCCCAGAAAGAAATGGCGATATTCCAAGATCATATTTCATTTCGTTCTTTTCCGATCTGAAAACTCTTTCCATCGACCTCTTGAGACGGGTGAGACGGACCACTTCCCCCCACCCTGTGATCCCCAACGACTGGGGAGTGAAGACGTACCGGTACCGGATCGGTACCGGGTCGATCATAGGGCCACGCTTAGGCCATCGCCGGCGGTTTTGAGAGTCGGATCTTAATACACTGAGAGTCCGAACATGCTGGAGGTCCAGTGCAGTCTGGATGCTGGTCCGAGCAGCAAATCAAAAGCATGAAGCTGCTACGAAGCTCTTACTTATTCTCTCTTGTACTTCTATAGGAAAATGGAGATCAATTAGTATCATGTGCATGTTGACTGGCTGAGAACTCCCCCCACATGGAGAGGTATACCAATTCTGGTAAAGGGGGATTTATGGTTTATGAATGTAACAGTCGAGATTACTGTAGGTTTTGCCAGAATTGCTGGGTTGCCCATGGGTAGAGTAACTCGCTTGGTGTGCATCCCCAAAATACTGTCAAAACCTATATTATATGGTGGCAACTATTCACTATTCGATAACAAACACAAAAACCTTTATTTGCTTAGGTAACATGATGATTCATGTAACTCCTAAAGCTGAGGACTCAACAAGAAAAACATGTAAAACAACAAGAGGGAAAATTGACCACATCCTTGATGAGATGAAACCCCAATTCAGACTGTGTTAGTGTTCATTCCGGGTGTTGGAGTACACTTTTCGGCCAGAAAGGAACCGTTAACCTACATCCCCACCTCTGCGCTTCCATCTGCGCCAGCAGCCGCAAAGCTATCTGCAGCTGTCCAGTGCCGCAGGCGCAGGCTCGGATGGAGGAGTTGTAGCTAATGCTGTCTGGCTCTTCCTCGACAAGGCAGGGCAGAACGTGAAAAAAGGCAGTGAAAGGTGCGGACGGCAGTGGAAGGTGCTCTTCTCGTCGGACATCTGGTCACACCAGGTCCCAAAAGTGACACGAACCTCGAACTCGAAGAACCTCTTAGAACTCGACCGGTAGCACCGATCGTTCGTGGCTCGGGTCCCCCTGAAAGGCCTTGAAACTCGGTCGTTCGAAGTCGTTAGACCATTCGACCACTTTTCTGTTGGCGACGTTTGGGGAATCTCGACCAGGTGAATGTGTGGGAGTTGGAGCTTTTGGATCGACACAGACCTGGCACTTCTGGTATCAAACCATATACCTATACCATACATTACCATACTACATACTAGGAGTCGGGTGGCCCTATAGGAAGCATCCGCGTCCGAAGCAAGCCTCCAACAGAGATGGAGCTCCACACTCGAAAGAAAGACATGTGGGTGAAGCCACCGAAGAAGACTTTTTGGGGGAAGCCACGTTTGGTTTGCTTTGATGTGCACGCCCACGGATGCTTCTGGGGGGGCAACCGGCAGGAGACTTGGCGCAAATTGTGACAAAGTGGGATAGCCACCACATCAGGCACTTCGTGCTCGAGGAGCAAGATGATAAATGAGAAACAACAAACACGGGTTGATAACAGTCACGCGCATAGCAGTTGGAATGGCTCCCTTCAATTGTATTATTTTGTATAATTATAGGAGCCGGTCCTCGCTTTGCCGCTTGGAATCGTGTCTGCTTCCACGGGTGTGTAACAGCTATATGCGACTGTGATGCGACAGCTATCCGATGATGTTCTGCCGGCCAAGGTTCCTGAGAAGAAAGCATGAAGACAAGGAGAGATACTGCAGCCAGCCATTGCCCAGCTTTATCGCAAAGGTCTATGGCACTGTTGTAGGAGATGATGTTGGGACGTACCCCATCCTGAGCTTTTGCCGGCGGTCAAGTTGGCGGCAAGAACACCAGAGGAAGGGCACAGGTCGAGAAAAAGACCTGTATTCCTGGCGCTGGAAACAGGTGGTTGAAAAATGAGACCAATCAAGACTGTCTACCACTGTGGGGTCTCAGTTGATACGCTCTCTTGATTCCGATGCACGCTCTGGCTGTGGCCGACAGTACACAAACTGGCCCAATGGGCAGAGCAAAGTAGTGGAGCTTCTGAAGATGACTAGAGCAGTTGGTACCAAGCAATCTGTTCCACAGAACTCACGACAGGGCCGAGTTTCCAGCCGCATCACAGCCAACAGCCGCACGCCCAAGCCCCAGCCTTCGTCCTCGCGTTGTGCGCCACGCGCGAGGCCCATTGCAGAGGAGAAGCTGATCACGTCCGGTCGACATCTGGAGGAAGTGAGCAACTCCAGCGCCCAGAACCAAGGAGCCGACCAAGAAGCACCTTGAGAAGAATCCCATCCATCCCTTGTGAAGGGATGGAATCACTGATATTGTAGGAGAGAGGGGAGAGAGAGAGAGAGAGAGAGAGATTCTTACACTTGATTCCAATAATAAGGTAATGATGGCACTCGTATAGAATTTTAGCTTGAATCAAACCAACTCTGAAGAACCTATATTAATACTAGCAACATATTATATAACGATTGTATATCATATCACCCATAGATTTATATCTAAATGTATATCCTAGTACACCTTAGTACGGTGATTTGCCATCCACAACTTCTGGATTCCTCCAAAACGCTCCAAAGCGCACTCCTTCAGGCATTCTTTCAGATCTGGTCAAGCATGACATGCTGCTGTGGTGTTGAGTGTCTTGCTTTTGACCCATGCCACATGCCTGGATCTGCCACAGATGGAGTTGTTTGATGTTGTTTGGACACTTCTTGGCCCCGGCAGCATGGTTTTGAGCAACTTCAAGAGATTTCAAGAGCCTGCTCTTGGGTCTGACCCCACCCGCTCCAGCAAAGCCTGACCTCCAACGCCCACTATGGGTCTGTTCAACCATCATTGACCAATCGACTTCACTCTGGGTCCAATCAACGTCACTCCACCAAACAATTAACAAGAGGCGTCCCAAAGAAGGTGCAAAACAATTGACAAGCATTGGAGATTTAGTAAACGAACTCGACCTACTTCTCTGTCAATCTGGACCTTCACACCCCTCCCCCAAGCTTTCCGCCACTCTGACCCTCCAACCTCTCCAAGCTGCCGATCATCGCATTCAAATCCTCCACTCCCCGGCACGCACGGGGCCCCGCCGCGCGCGGAGCCGCGGCGCGCGCGGCCAACGTCCAACGCCAGGCGCCCAGCGTCCGCCCCGGCGGTCGCTCCGCGGGGTGCGACCAGAGCGACAGCGCCTCGGAGTGATCCGCGGGAGCCGCTCGATCTGGGTGGCTTCCGGAGAGTTGCTGCAGTGATTCCGAAGTGAACCCAGTTGGGGGGGAGTTGCAAGGGTCGGTCACTCCCGTCACATGGAGCAACAACGAAAGAATCCGGAGTGGTTCGCCATGTCGTTCGACGAACATAGATTCACTGTCCACGACGTTCCAGGACTTTCTCGGCGGGTGAAACCGGCATGGGCCCTACCCATCCGTCGGGCGAGCAAAACACAACCAGGTGTCATTCATCCAATGGCCGGCATCCTCAGACTTCTTGATCATCAGATTGTAGGTGATGGTATCTGGCAGAAGCCCCTCTTCTTCCAGGCTCCTTACAACATGGAAAGCTTCACGCCAGGGTTCATAAATGTTGATGGCAGTATTGTAGTTGATGAGGTGCGCCTCAATCCCATGAAGCTTCAGAAGTCTTGCCGCCATCTGCCACTGTGCTCTGCATGGGGTGCAGCCGTTATAGCTGATGCTATCTGGAGAAACTTGGAGATGCTTCATCCGGCACAAGAGTGTCAAGCTGGAAAGCCAGTGTGAGCTCTTCGCACAGCCACTCAAGACGTTATTGTAATTCACCAAATCAGGTCTGGTCCTGAAGTTCTTCATCTTCTCCAAGAATCTCATACTCATCCACCAGGACCTACTAAGCTTGGTTTGGTTGAGCACGTGGGAGCAGCTGATGACATCTGGCCAAATGAGTTTGTGGAGCATTGAGGTGAAAAGCCCTAAACCGACCCACCACTGGGCGGAGGAGATGAAACTGTAGCTGATGCAATCTGCCTCAAGGCGTAACAGATCCACGCGCTTCAACCTTGGCTCCATGACCAAAACAGACACCGTCGAGCCCCGACCTAAAGCCCCTTCAGCATCGTTTAGCCATCGTTCAGCCACGCAAAGCAGAAAGAAACACCGGTGATTGCGACCGGTGATTTGCGAGCGGTGGTTTCAACTCCGACACGACCTGTCTGGGACTGCCAGGACTGCCGATCAGGCCAGGGGTGGTGTTTGGGGGTCAAGAAAGGAAACTCAAGACTTCCAAGACCAAGGAGACATGTCCAAGGAGATCTCCCAGAGCTCCGATCGGGCTGAAGCAGTGATGCCCCGGTTCACTCTGATGAGTTCCTCGGCGACACCAACGGAGCAGCTGAGGTGAACCAGAGCAGGGATTGATGGGCGCTTGGGTTTGGACCCGTTTGAAGCCCGGAAAAAGGCGGGGGTGTTTGTGTTTTTTCAATGAAATAGACCCAACGATGAAATCACCAGAAAAAAGAAAACCGCCGCCAATAAAAAATCCCCCAGCCATCGAGTCACCAGTGGGTGAACCAAACATATCAACACGATCCGCCCGGAGTCCCCATGCAGGGTTCTGATTGGGTCTGATTCTTGACACTTTGCACTTCTCATCCAGGCACAAGGTCTTTGACCGGGGTACTTCTGTGGCCTCTGCCACCTCACTCCACCATCTGGCTAATTTCTTTTGAAAGCCTGCTTCTGGACCAGATTGGCTTTCCCAAAGCAACGGCTTGGTCATGTTTCCTATCAGATCCAATCTTGGCCCGAGTTCACCTGTAGCCTGTAAACCTCAAAGCGCACCACTGGAAAACTATCCTCAGGGTGTACAGGATGTTTCTTCTTTACAACTAGCAATGAACCGGTGATATTCTTGACAGTACAGTAGTTTATGCCGCATCATCTAGAACTCTTTCATGTCAAGTGTCCCACCAGTCGATGCAGTCTGACTCCCGATTCTCGATTCTCCGAAACCCTGGTCCTCCACCGGTCGAGGCCGCTGCCTTCGTCCAAGCTTCGGAGGCCGCGCAGGGCCGCGCCCCACCGCGGGAGAGAAGCGCACGCTTCCATGACGCTGCAGCGGGGTCTGCGGCGTCGGCAACGCGTGCGGTTCCCGCACCTACCGGGGGGTGGGTGCAACGGATTGGGTGGACGGGACTAGAGAGGAATCAATCCGGCCGCAGATGAGAGGAACCAATGAAAAATGACTGATACTTGGTTTTGAGATAACTTTGTGAGGGAACAAGGATCTGGCATTCATACACCTTCAAGCGTAGGAGTATAGGGGTGCAAGAAAAAGTATATATGGGATGGCAAAAAAAGATTGTTGCCAGTTGTCCTCGGAGTAAGAAAGGAATCCGGTAGTTTCTGGCCAAAGTTTCGTTTTAGACCGTGGCTCACATGGTTTCCACACTGATTCACTGTAGTTGATGTTGCAGCGCACCCCCGATGTATGGAAACATCTCTTCCAGTCAGAATTGATGGGCTGATCCCGTGATCCCACAGGCTGTAGGTCTCTTGTAGCAAGTGTTTAATTTGTATACTATTATAACGTAGTCATTTAAGAACACCGACATGGATCGAAACATTCGAAACCCAAATAGATTCTACCGCTCTCCCAAGTGCTTGAAGATGGTCCAATGTGAAGCGTGACCATCGTTGTTGACCGTCACCGAATTGTGACATCATGTTCACAATTGTGAAGTCCAACGCCCTGCCTCGTGACCTCTTCACTGCCTTCTCACCCATGTGACCTCGTTCGGGCCCGTTCGGAGTAGCCGCTGCAAGCCGTCGCCTTCGAACGGTCTGGTCCGGGTCTGCGGTGTTTGGTGGTGCCGCTCGGTCCGGCGGGTCGCGGCTTGACAGATCGCTTCCCTTCCTAAAACGAACATCCACCCAAGGAAGAGCGCTGTGGGGCGAGAGACGAACACAAGCAAATGACTGAAAAACGGTCACAGAAAATAGAAGCTGAAAACAGGGCCTCCATCTATTTATATCCGCCAACCGCTCCGTGGACCCCAAGTCTTGCATAGACGCACTCCACCCGAAACGGGCCCGTCAAAGGAGCCGTCTTGAGCCAGATGCAACAAGCGCCGCTCAAAAACTGGACCTCATCCGGTACATCAAGTGGATTGGCCATTTTGCGCTTTGTGCGGAAAAAGTTGAAGAGGTTCATCTAGTTTCATGCTTCAAAGTTGCACCGCGATGCTTCCAGCCAAGGCAAAGTCATACATCATAGACTGCAGGTCACCCGTAAAGGACAACTCTGCAAAGTTTCCAACACCCCTAGAGATGCATCTAAAGCCATTCTTGAGACGGGGCGGGGCCTTATTTGACCCCGCTCAAGACTTGAACCGCTCCATTTCCAAACTTGCATGGCTAACCCACTGCTTCAGCTAGCTGTTTCTCGTTTTTCACGAGACTTCTGGACCGTGTAGCTTCTTGCTCCGTTCGTAGCGATGCCAGGAGCCCCTAGTAGCGTCCTTGCTCCGTTCGTAGCGATGCCCTTTGCTCCGTTCGTAGCTTCTTGTTCCTAGTAGAACACGAAAGAGCAGGCTTTAAGGCTTTGCCAACCATGATCGACTTGGCATTTGACCGAGGAGTCTCTGATGGGGGTCTGCTGAATCCCCTCTTCGCCCCCGCCTGCGCCACCGTCACGAGGCGCCGCAAGGCCACCACATGGCTACGCACCTCCGGAGTGACTGGAGGTGAAGCACCTGGTTCTCGTCATGGTTCAAAACTCGAATGTATCTCAACTACACCTTCCAGACCCTCCAGAGGATCGTGTCCTTCTAGAGATCCTGGATTCTGAATGTCCAGGGGGACGCCCCTGATCCTGGATTGTGAACCGTCAATTGGGAAGGGTTTCCTGGATTGTAAACCGTCAATTGGGAAGGGTTTATCTTTCTTTCCAGGCCTAATATCTCTTCGTGATGGAGTGCAAAATCCTCGGCCTGCGATGGTTTAATGAGTTCTATTTGGGGCCGCCAGTCAAGCCGCTAGCCTCCCCTTGCCTAGGCTGCGTAAGGAACGGTTTCAAAATGGTTTTTTTTTATGTTGGGGTCCCCAACTTGGAGGTTCTTGCGGAAAAGACTAGAAGAAGGGATCTGTGAACACCAAGGAGCACCAGCGTGGATAGAAGATAATTTCTGATAATTATGATACATGAATATGAACAAAGAACCAGAAAAACCAAGACTGTTTTCATCAAAGAAGGCCCTAAAGCCACTTCTGTCTAATCTCGAACTTCTTCGGGGTACTGTAGATCGGAAGTACTACGGTACTCCCACCGGAGATCTCTGGTGGCGCGCATGTTCAGAGAGCGTGGATGTCCGATACCTAAAGGATCCTTTGGGTTTACTAAAGGTATTAAATTGTTATGTGGCTGTAGGTCCAAAACCCAGAGCCCTGAAACAACTTGTAGGTTGACCTCTTTAGTATGGTCTATTCTAGTTCATTTTAGTCAACCAGGGAGGTTCCCCGGTTTTGACCCACAGCCATGTCTTTCGGTGACCGAAACGAACCTTCTTGTACTTCAGAAGATCTATTTTATGCAAAATATCGTCTTTGGACCGAACGCAGTTGTACTCTTCTGGTTGTGATGGTGCTACGTCGACTTGAGGATTCTTATCTACAGTGTTGACAACATCATTGTTCGCCGGGCTCGCCAACTATTTATTGACGAAAATGCAGCAGCACCGACCTATGTCTGCTGTCTGCACAATTGGTGTTTCAAAACAAAGAAACATGAGGATCACGCATACGGATCACGTCCCAGTCCCAGTCCTACGGATCACCCAACCCTCCACTGAACCCGTGCCGCTTGTCCTGCGCCACCCGACCTCCTCGTCATCCATGGAGGACTTCACCCTCTGCGCATTTAACCGTTGGGCGGTGCGTGCCTGACGGATGGCATGTCCGGAATGATGCATATCCTTGGCAAGACAATCACAGAAATTGAGCTCCATGGGATAAGAACAAAGACATGCCATATCCTTGCAGAACACAACCTGTTTGAATCTTGGAGTGAGGAACTTTCCGGCCACAGCCTCAAAACATGTGTGCAAGTGCGTGCGTCAACCCTCCCTTCAAACGGTGTCGAACATGACTTTCCTGGTGAGTGGCGCTTGAACATGAATTTGGGCTAGTATGCACTACATGAGCATTAGGAGAGAACCTCCTAGTCCAGTTCTTACTGTTGAAAGGAAGCTTCTAGTTACTAGTTCCTGGACCCTGCTATCCCCTGATGGCATCTGAATATTCAGAAAGAAATGTCTTACCCGCAACAACCGACTCAGGATCTTCCAGGTTTTGCAGGACCTCCAGTGTCGGTGGATAGCCCCCCAGTGGTTCTCGCTGTCGTTTTTGGAAGGGCGGAACTTTGGCGTCATTGAACTCTGGCTCTTGGTCCAAACAAAGCAGATTCCCAATGAGAAAGAGTTTGCTGGGCTAGCATGTCGGCTCAAACCACGACAACACCTGGATCTATGATGAGCTATCCCAAGATTGGCAGAACTTCTCAGAGTCTCAAACCACGAGTCCCACCTCCTGCGGCTCCTGCGTGACTCGACCCACGTCGTCACGACGTCTCAAACCGTCGTCACGACGCGTCCACGACCGTCCAACCGACCCGTTCGCAGCCTGCTTCCACCTGAGGAGTCGAGCAGGTTCGCTTCGTCCAGCGAACCGCGCTGCGTCCGACGGAAGAACGGGGGACATGGTTTTAAAAGAGACGTTCGCGGGGCGAGCGAAGCGCAAGCATGTCCAGCTGGAGCACAGTTCCTATCTTCTGCTGTGACCCACCACCTAGACTTCATGGGATTCTGCCGATTTCTCATCTCCTGGTTGGCTCCTGTCAGGAAAGACCCAGGGAAGCGAGCTTGGAAAGATTCAGTGGCGACCGGCAACTTGGCCCAGTGGCGACCAGAGGCTCCCTCTTCTAATGCACACCTATCTGACTGTTGGGGAAGGGACTCTTGGCAACCTCTTGGCAAGCAAGGCAGCCTTCTCTGTCGACGGTAGCAAAATCTAATCACTTTCATGTGGTCGTCCATTGCAAACATAAGCTGCCTCCCTGTCTGGCGCTGCCGTCCGGAAGCGCACGTGTGGCCTCGCGCTGCCGTTCACACGCTGAAAAAACCCCACCCTTCACCAAAGCGGCAACTTCTCTTTTCTAATGCAAGTTGTGCGGTCCAAGATGGTAGGGGATCATCTGCACCACCCATCTGGGGGCCAGACGGACAACAGCTGGACGCGCGACGCTGGAGTCAATCGTGCCATCGAATCAATTAGATGACGACTGATCATCAGGCTACAGTAGATCAATGTAAATCACATGGATAGATGGTGTTTCAATGGAGTGATCCATCTGTTGGATACACTTTTTTTGCATCGATCCAACTCCTTCTTTTCGATCACCTCGCCATGATGGAGTTGGAGCACCCATTTTTGGGTGCCCCGTGTGATGGAGCTCGGATGGACTCCTTTTCTGATGGAAGAAATCCAGAGATCAGAATCAGAAATGGACATCCATCCATATGCACAAAAGCACAAAAAGAAGCGGTGAAGTGGTTCTGAATGTCTTCCAAGAGCATGCGGATTTTACACCCCAGGCAACCAAAAAAACATGGACATGTCGGTGTGTCTCCAATCACAGAACACTTAGTGATCTTAGTCAACAATTGATTTACAATGAGCGACGGTCCCAGCTGATCGACCGTGCCCTCTGTTGACACACCCAGTTTGTTCACTAGGGTTGTTGACCACGAGAAGTAGGAGGTGTTCCAAGCATACCTCGACCACTGGATTTGACCCTCAATCAAAGACTGATCAAGCAAAATCTCCGATGTGCAAGGGCGAAACGGGCTTTCAACTCACGGATCAATCCATTCTCTAAAGCGAAACTCACGAAGGATGGCTGGAAAGTCAGCTCCGAAGGGCAATCAAACATTGCGAGCTGGTTGCTTGGCACGTCCACTCTGGCCAGATTCATTGGCAAACTGGCATCAAAAATTACTGCCAGGCACCAGCCGTGAACGGCCTCTGCTCAGATGGAAAGCCAGTTGTCCACCAGATCCACATTAAGATCCCGACAAAAGGACAATCATGAACAATCTGGAGGCATGGAAGAGTCGAAGACCCTGTCACAATAATTAGGCCACAAATGGCTGTACAAGCCTTCCACACATGGAGGGAGGCTGCGCTGAAAAAAACCTGCAGCCATTCACACATGCAGGTGTTTCCACCCATCCATTCACACCCCAAAGTTGTGACCCTCCTCTTCATTCTCGGAAGAGCCATCGTCTTCGGCCCTTGACGCGGGTACTGCCTCGGACTCCGGTGACTTGATCCGTCGGGTCTTGCTTAATCCTTTCAGGTCCACGGTGATTCGATTCCCGCTCATCGCCATGATGTCCACAAAGTCCTCCTCAAATCGAAAGTCTGCCGGATAGTAGCACTTGTTGGCAAAGACCTTTTGCATGTACGTCTGATCAGTCCCTTCCAGTTGCACGACCAGGGCCAAAAACTTCTCTTGACAATTCGTTTCATCCAAGCCAAACAAGGGACTCTCCTCATCCAAGCAGTGAATCAAATTCCACACCGCTCGAAACATCATGGTGCTGCCCCTTTCCAGCTTGCAGGACGCTAAGACTCTCAGTCCGGCCTCCGAGTCGCGCACTAAGGCGCTCACACGGCAGGTGACATCGAACAAGCAGCTAAAGGGCCGTTCGTTGACGATGCGGAAGCTGATCGTCGGGCAGCCGCGGACGGTCTTGAGCGACCTCACCAGGGCCACGTCGGAAAAGGCGACGCGGGAGCCGGCCGTGCTCACGCGCGAAAAGAGGAGCCCACCACCTGCAGCGCCCATGAGAATGGACAGCCAAAACTCCACCATGACCAAAGCATCAGTGAAGCGTGAGTTGGAGACCACCGTTCCAAAACCAATGGTGGACATGGTGTGAACGGAGAGATTCAAAGCATCCCAAACAGTACAGTCTTCCTCCTTGGCCAAACAAAGGATGCCATCCCTCTGCACCAAGAAAAAGAGGAGCCCAAAAGACTCCAATCATGGTCAAATACCTCGGTTTCATCGACACATTTCGACTATATAGTAGTTCAATCCAACCAAGATGTTACGAGGTCCTTTAGACCTGCGGTGAGGCTTTGACTTGGGTGGCCGCTGAAGGAGGCTGAAGGAGGCCATCTTTCGCAGTTGGTGCCTACTGGAAAGTTGAGTTTCTATCATGTTGATCAAATGCAAAGCTTGAAGCCACACATCTGCAGTTTTCTAGGATTAGATATATCGTTTGTTGCCTATTATGATCAATCTAGTGTATACCTTTCTACCAAGCAACGCCAGAAGCAGACCTGAGAAAGCAGGCAAGAAAAAGGCGCACGCTCACAAAGGTTTGAATCTCAATGGAGTGATCACTTGTTCCACTGGTTTCACTGGTCTTCGGTCTTCGAGATTTCTGGTCCAAACATCGGTGAGGACATCTGTCGGTCCAATGTTCGACTCGACTCGACCAGTCTGCGTCTGTTCTGAGGCGACCCGACACAGCAAGAACTTGCTCCAAGAGGTCCGAAGCAAGAAGAACACGCAATCTCCGATCACCTGGACATGCGACATGCGGCCGGACGCCCGAACAGACACGCTGCAAGCTAGCGAGGAAAAAGGCGTGAGTTGAACGAGACGTGTTTAACGCGACGTCATGAGACCGGAGGGAAGAATTGTTGAGGCTTTTGCCAGTTTACTTGACAGTTCTATTCATTTCTATTCTGTGGCTGACACTACGGCCATTGGAGCTGTCAAGCTCCATGGAATCCTGGAAGGATGCAAAACATCGATGGCATCCGATTCAGTCGACACACCGGCACACTCGTTTGGCCGATTTGAATCGATTTGACAGGTCTGAAAAGCATGTTGCGGGATGTACAGTCCATTGATTCTATTGCTTCAACAAAGCTGTGGTTTCCATCCCATCCATTCCCAAAATTCATTCTTGCTCAGATCCCTGCCCCCCAAAATACGACCCCTTTCCTCCCATATGCCTCCGTTCACCCCTCTCAATCTCCGCTCTGTCCACCACCCCACCACACCGGGGTACGCGGTACACGTAAAATAACCACACCACAGCCGCGCCTGAGTTCGTGATCCTTTGACAGCCACCTGAACCTTGCCACTGAGGTCATACTGAACTGGGAGTTCTGGGACCTGTCCTGGACATGCCGGACATGGGACATCATTGAGACATCATGGGACACAGGAACAAGCAAGAACGTTGCAGAGTCCAGCGTTGCTGGGCTCTTTCTACAGGGAAGAAGGAATATAATATAAGTCAATGATCCAATGCGAGTTCGTTCCATGCAGCGCAACCACAATTCTCCCGAAAGACATCTCTGCCAGGCCGATGTGGCATTCCACATTGTCGGTAGACACACACAAGATGTACAGCCGGGAACTGGTAGTTGGTTAAAATTGGTGTGTGTTTAACAGGGAGACCTTTCAAAGAACATCTGGAAGAAGGATAATACCATTTCCTCTGGGACCATTGCTTACGGTGCAGCATTGGTTAATCGAACAATCACTGAGTGGCGGTCTTTGAGAACTTCCATGGTGCAATGTCTGGGATGTTTTCGCTCGGGATCCAACCCTTGGTTGTCAGCATGTGTTTGCGGCAAGCTCACAGATCCGCAGCTTAATGACTTGTTGAGGAAGATCAATGTCTTGGCGCACATATTTCTTTCACCCATGGGATCGTGCGGGACTTCTTCGGAGGATGGCGACAGTGAACGCTGCGTGAGCCCATCAGTCTTGCGGTACGCTTTGCGGTACGTGTGTGGGATGGAATTGCCATTCACATGGCCTTGTTCAGCACTCGGGTTTGCGTTTCGGACCACCGGGTCCCAGAACATGTTCGGACCGTCTTGCACGTGGGGACCGTCTTGCACGTGTGCTTTCGGTGGTCCCGTAAAGGATTCGACAGCATTTGACAAGTGTTTTTGATGCTTCTTTGGCTAAATTTACGCCAAGAGATCAGGGATCGATTGCCCTGGCAGGGAAAAATTGACCACACGCAACGCACCTTGCAAGTACAGTCGGAATGTCAAGGATGAGTTCTGTACTTTGTGCAGTCAGGCAGACTCAGCAGACTCAAAAGAGCATGCCCCCAGTTGCGTGATGTGAGAAGCAAGTACCCAGGTCTTTTTCCAAAGTTGCGAGCTGGCCCGCAAGCTTTGTGGCAGTTTGGACTGGCTCAGACTTCTTGGGCAGGTTGGCACTTTAAGATGCAACTCCAAGATTGTTTACCTGCCGAAAAGTGGTGCCTCAGGTTTCCGACAAGGTCGCGGTATTTACAGATGGGTCTGCCTACCTTCAGGACACCCCGCAATTCACCATCTCTGCAGGAGCTTCCATCCTTGTCTCTGAGCAGGGGTATACGGTGATCGATGCACAGTTGGTTCTGGGAGCAGACCACAGTTCATACCGGGCTGAAGTGTGGGCAATTTTGTTGACATTGCAAAAAGAATGGGCACCACAGTTCTTCACTGACTGTTCAGCGGTTGTTGAATTGTTGGCCAATATGATCCTTGCTAGGGCCCAAGGTTTTCCTTTCATCCTTGCAAACATTGGGACTTGTGGGAGTCCATTTGGGTGCACTTGCTTCTTCGCCCGAAGTGCTTGATTTCCAGTACTAAAGTTGAGGCACATACCAATTGGGCTCAGGCAGCTTCTCCACATGAAAGATGGTTGGGACGCTGGAATGCAAGGTTGATGCAGTGGCTAAGCGTGTCATTTTACATGACAATCAGCAAATATACCATAAGTTGTCACAATCAGCATCAGTTGAAAACTGTGAATGATTTCCATAGTTTTTGGGTTGAAGCAACAACTCGTGCAATGGCTAGCAACGACACTGTCTCTTCGCAGGCGACTTCGCACCCTGATTTTGATACTTTCTATGCGACGGGACGGGCTTCCTTCCCTTTCCGCAATGTTGACTTGAATGCCTTTTGGGCGTGGTTTCACTTTCAGGTTCTTGAATTGGTTTGAGAAGGTGGGTGGCGTTCAAATGCTGCTGAGAGTGAATGTTTGTTGGAGTTGTACGTTGCTTTCGCTTTGGACTCCAACTCCATGATGCCAGTGTATTTGAGAACGCTGAACAAGAAAACCAAGTCGCGTGAATCTGCTTACGTACTGAGAGAAGAGTCAGTGATTGCTGACGAGTTCAGGAGTGATTTGAACACACAACTTCGTTCATTGCTTCAATTTTTCAAATGGCACAGGTTTCCGTTTACCGAGGAGGACTTTGTCGCCTTGGGTATCTTAGTGCTACCTCTTATGTATGGACAGTTCATTTTCCCCCACGGTTCGATTACTTGTCAGACCCTGTGGGATTACTTTCACCAGGGTCGCAGATCATACAATTTGAAGGCCTCTTGGCGTCCTTTCAATGGGACGAATCGGAGGCCGAGATCTCCAGAGTTGATTTCCTTTGTGCACAGTTGGTTGAGGATTTTGATTTCTGTCTACCTTACGCATAGCTGAGGGTAGCCATTGCATGAGACACATGCGTGAAACGACAAAGACCAAAAAACCATCAAGTTGGCTGTCCCCCTATGAAAAATACAGACCTAAATGACTAAAAGGACATAAAAGGACCAAACGATTACATCTTTCCATTGCCTTCCCCCGTGTTTTGCACCACGCGATGTGGGGCCGAAGAGGGCCGACGCACCTGCAGTAGTGATAGAAGGTCTCCGGAACCCATAGGCTCGCATGGCTGTGTGGACAACCCTGCACTCCCAAAATGAGCACTAAATTGAATTGGCTTCTGAAAGTCAATTGATTCATGCCCCCAAATGACCATGCCCCAGGTGACTCTGTCTCGGTTTTGATCCATTCCCAAATCCGCAGCATTCCGCAGTGCTGCAAACCAAATGCTTTGCCTCGAGCCGAGATCCCCGATGAACAAGGCATGAAGGGTAGAGATGGGTGGAGGAGTCCAATTCCCTTTCATCGACACCATCTGCGGCCCAAAGAACGCCAAGGACGTCATCTTCATTTCATCAGTGACAAAATTCATGGTGCAACTCATCCATCAGCTCCACAGGCAGGTCTGCTGTCCCTTAACTTCGATTTGCGTGTGCTTTTCACCAGATTGACCACATCTGCCATACATCATTCCAGCTCAGGGATTCCGGACTGTGATCCTCGTTGTTGAAACCATTGCTGGTCGATAAAAAGCCCCAGCAAATTGGTCCTAGTAAAGGAAACATTATCTTCCCAACTCCGCTGCTATGCCAGCCAGCTTTGGTTCGGAGGATACCACATGACCATTTCAAGGAAGTGCAATCGCAACTGCTGAACCTACTGGCCTGGCTCATCTGACGTTCGCCCCTCCACAGCCCATTCAGAGACCATGACTGCTGCGGGTTGGTATGGGCAGGAGCCTCCCGAACGCAAACCGACGTGGCGTTGGAACACACACTTCGTCACGCCCTTTCGAATCCCATGTGCATGTCAGCTCGTCTCTTGGGCCAGCGACATGCGTCCTCTGTCCACGCCGGACAAGCCATCCATGCCACCCTCCATAAGGGTAGGCACCTGCAATGAGTTGGCACCAAACAAGTGTTTTCCCGGCGGAGCTGAACAGGAGAACGGGCGCAACCAGCCCCACGCTAGGCCAGTGACTCGCTGTGCGCTGTGGGGATGACCAATTCCTTTACTGAACTGAACGAAGCCTTGGGAGAACCCCAACTGCAATGCAGGAAAGTTGCGCAGCTTGGCGATTGCGAAACTGATTGGATACTAGGCCAAAAACACATCAACCACCGCAAGAGAAGTTTTTCCGGGTAGAATATGGTATCCTTCAAAATCTCGACCCTGCCCTCGTAGCTTGTGGAAGTGATCGAATTTGCAGTTGATGTCTGTTTTTGCCAACCAGCTGGTCTCCCATTCAGCCGATCCTTGCCTCACTATGCCAGGCCTTGTTGCCAATGGCCAGGTCCAAATAAGCCTCACAGGTGGAAACAAGCAAGGGGCCCCTCAGGTGCTTAGGAAAATAATCCTCGCTACGGTGGTTGCTAGGGCACCTTCCAAAATCAGGGGAATGTCCTCCCCTATGAAACCAACAAGGAACTTGACACAAGTGGTGGTCATGTACTTGACAGAAGTGCAGATATCGGGTGTGCAAAAACGAGCAGCTCTTGGACAATCCGATGCACACACAAAGACAAACCATACAGTAAAGTCAGTAAAGGACAAAGGCCCAATTATCTAGCTGCTAACAATCAGTGACAGCATCTTCTCCTGCTTACTCTGAAAAAAGGGTTGAATTTCTGGATTTGAAGAGCAATAGCAACACGTTCGGTCAACCATTCCGATACTTAGTATCTGGTGGAAAAAACCATGAAAAAATATATAGCAAACACGGCGACACATAGAGCTCCCCGTGGCGGCTTCAGTCGGTGCAGAGCGCAGCTCAGCGTCTCTTTGCGTCGAAAGCTGCGATCTCAGAAAGCGATCTAAGGAGCTGAGGGGGATGATGGGAAGCATCGGCTAAAAACAAACCTTGGAAAACCACCTGTGCATAATGGAAAACCACATGACATGCTTAGAGGATGTACAGTATGTGGATGTATGCTCGAAATCTATCGTGACAACAGGCATTCTAAGCTGACGTGTTCGGATTGAAACAGCTCACCTGTTGCCCTTCCAACAAAAGTCGCATTGGATGCGAAACCTACGAAGGAAATGGACAGGACCACTGGTGATCTCTTCGACCCAAAATCAGCTCGCACAACTCGTGCGCGTGTGCATGGTAACACACCTGTGGAGGTTTCCAACAAGCTCATTCTCATTCTGCATCATCCGGATGCAACCACATTACGACCAGAGGGTTTGGAGGGAGACCCAGTTCTGATGCTTGCCTCAGGGCAACAAAACCCAAAAGGTGCTGGACCTATCCGATACCAACTGATCAAACAAAGCAGGGACCCACGGCCCTACCTTGTATAGGATCTGTTCCAATCATCTCCCATGGATCCGTGACCACGGATCCGATTTTGTCCGATTTTGGGGGAACCTGAGAAGGCTCCACCAACCGGGGCTAGGCCAAGCAAATCGAGCCACAGGACATAGCCTTAAATATCCTGAAATCAGAACCACTGTCACTAGTGTTTGGTCTCAAGAGGGTGTCTGGCAGACTCCACGCATCTATATTTTTGTGGAGCAATGAAGGGCCCCTGTTGAAGGGAAGCATCAAGTTCAGGCCTCCCCAGTTCTGTGTCCTCTAGGTCTGTTAAGGTTGCAGCTGTGGTGGGTCTCGTCACTTCAGATCAAGTACCCCGCACTTCAGGAAGGTTGAGCTTTAAAAACACACCTTCCAAGTCTTTGTTCCACAAGACCACCTGCTTAGGTCCCGCCCCCCACATGCTTTCACTCGAAGCATGCTATAGGGATCCAACGGCAGTATGTTGCATGGCCCAGTCTGCCCGAGAGGGCGCCCTATGCACATTGGTCGCTCCAGCCACCTGTCTGTCTAGATCTGGGTTGCGAAATCCCCAGATTCAGGAAAAGCCGCTGCAAGAATGGGGTGAAGTGATGTTTTTGATGGTCTTGGCATGGTCTTGGCCAAAAGAGCTCGAACTCGCCACGGGGGCTTCTCCAAAGGCTACACAGCTGGAAGCAGAAGTGACGCGCCCAGTGGCTTCAGTCGGAAACGGCTTTGGCCGCCTGAAGCGACGGAAGCGAAAGAGCCGTCGACTGAAGCAGAGCAGAAAGGTCAACTGAAGCAGTTGATTTATGTTGAACATAGATCCAACCTAATAGCGATGGCCTCAAACCTAATCGGAATGACCTCCAACCTAGAAGCAATGGCCTCCATCATTCGGCATGCTTCGCATGGTCTGCTATTTCATTGACCACTCATTTAATGAATAGGCTTCTTAATGGGAATCTTCGGTCATGTTCTCAGGCAGCTTCCAGCATCTAGAATCTAGAACTTACTCCTCGATTTCAAACGGCCTGGTCCGCTCGAGCGGCTCCCCTGCCTGCGCTCCATCTCATCACCGCTCTGCGCTCCATCTCATGGTCTCAAGTTGACTCAAACGGTCTTCCAAGGTCGCAGCATCACTCTGCATGGACCTCAGCTCAGGCGTTTGGGATATATTTCTCACCACAACTTTCCAGCTTGTCCTGCCACAAACTTTCACAAATACCTCCCAAGAAGTTCTCCCTGGGATCCAATATGAATCTGTATCTGTTGAAGAAATCCTGAACCAGTTGGAAGACGCATCTGCCACAAAAAAAGAAGAACATAGGAGTAATAGGAGCTCAACTTCAACACCTGAAAAAGACATATATATATATATCGTACATATTATATGTATATACACTCAGTCCTCTGTCTTTCCGTGCTTTCCAGGCAACGAGGCCAAGCTCTGCAGCAACTGGCGGGTGAGTGCCTGCCGCATCTGGGCAGCTGCCTGCACCCAACGGGCACCAGTCGGTGCTCAAAAGCGAATCTGTTCTACGAAGAGCTATGCCCAAGCAAACAGGATCTCTCACAGAAGCTTCAGTCACACCAACATATCTCTGTCCAGGTTCATGAACATGAACATCGGGAGGTTTCTTGGAGTGTAGAAACCGCTATCAAACCTAGTGATTCACTTTGCAGAAACCTGGAACAAAGTCATCGATTGAATTAAATCATTTTAGGGATTCAACATTTCACCCTCAAACAGGTTCGATCTTAGTTCAGTGGAGACAGGGTGATCGACCACCCTGTAAAGCATCAGTACTACAACTACACCCAACAAGCCAAGTCTACTCAGCCACCTCAACAAGTCCAACCAAATCCTCCCCAACAAAATGTTCTTCAACAAAACCGGGACAAACGAACCGCCCCCTCCATGCCCTGCTCCCACCCACGGCCCCCCCGCCTCGGGCCCCACTGCGCCGCTCGCGGCCGCGGCCGGTGCGCCGCTCAGCTCAGCGACAAGGCGGCGGCCCACAGCGGCCTGGTCCTCGCGGTGAAATCCAACCCACATCGAAAACCGGAGCCGTGGGTTTAGTGGTGAAGAAAAATGCTGCTCTTCTTCGGAGGTTTTTGAATAAGGATGTCCTGTATCCATATCATCCATATCTGGAATCCTGCATCAATTCAGGTAAGTATACACAATATATATAGATATAATTAGATATATGGGTGCGTATTTTAATAGGGAGACCCCCAACCAATGGGTTTGGGTCTAAGTACTTCCTTTCTTCCATTTGAGTTACACACATATGGTAGATGTCGGTGTTTGACCAAAGGTCTTCTATTCTTTGTTCCTAAAGATCTAGGAACCAAATGAATAGTGCGTCAGCTATCCTGCGTCCAGTAGCTACTAGCTTGCTTGGCCCTTCCTTAATTAAGTGGGCGCCTACTTAGTTAAGTAGGGAGGGCAGGGCCACGGGCTATGATGTTTTAAAACAATGAAAAAGCAAAAAACTCACAGAAGTAGAAAGGTCCTCTATTTGGGCCGCCAGGGCCACCATTCCCAAATCCACCGATCTCTCATCTGCCCGATCACACGGCCGAGCCTCGCGGGTCAAACCTCTTCCGTCCACGTCGGGCGCTTGCCGCGCGAAATCTTCCAGTTGTTGGTGGCGCTCCTGGAGCTGTCGGTCTGTGCTTCAGTCCATGCCAGCAGTCGGGTTCTAGGTTGCGAAAGGCTCATTCGCTCCAAAAATAGGGCGGGTACCCCTCAAGATCCCCCGGGTCAATGGAAACCATTGCTAAAACCAGGGATCTTCTTTCCTTGAGCCACATTCAAATAGAAACATGTCTTCAAGACACTTCAGTCTAAAGGTTCCCTGATTCAGTCTAGTCTGGGGTTAGTTACTACAGACAGGAACAAATAACATGGCATAACCCTGTGCCATGGTATGGAATTACTCTATATATATATATATATTCATATATACTGTATAAAAGACATGAATGGCTTTCTCAACCACGGAATTGGTTCTCACTGTCAGCCATTTTGCATTGCGGCATCTCAGCATCTCCTGCCAGCTTTGGAAATCAATTCCGCAAAAAAGATCGTGATGAGTAATTACTTCGGCATGTCAACGGTTCTATATAGTGGGTCAAAAGTTTTGGGTTATAGACTCAGTACCCTGGTGGGTCAACCTATATACTATAACCACTATATGAAAGCCACATTGAATGATGATGCCCCAAACCAGGGTAGGTTGACCTCCTTACTAGTCCATTCTGTTCATTTTCTCCGGTGCCATGAACCCACACCCATATATTCTCAGGGTGGAGGCCATCGCTACTGTATTCATGTATTCCATTCTATACCCTATACCAGGTCCCAAAGACGACCAGGTCCCAGTCAAAGCTCCTCCCTTCGACCGTATGAGGTCCGCCAGATGTACCGGACGCATGCGGCGTACGCGGACTCGACCGTACACTGTGGCGGACCTCAGGTGTGGAACCACGTGGAACAACGCGTTTAGCAGGTCCACATAGCTGGATGAAACATACTACTATATAAGCGCTTTGATCTTGGACTGCAGTCATTCAAGACCCTTGCGCATCACACTGAAGGGATGCATACTACTTATGTACCTGTGCATAGTCCTAATGATAGAACATTTAATTCATACCTCCTTCATACCTTGTCTTACTTTTAAGTGCTTTTCTCATACTATTTAATCGTGCGTGCTGTTTGTGGTGGACATCATGTCCAACCCATGCAGCAGCACAATGGCAGCCTTGCTGCCTTTCCATCAAGGCTTTCTGGTGTACTGCCTTTTTGGGGGGAGGCTTTCAACAGCAGCAGCAGGCACCTGCTTTCTTCCCTGCAGCAGGCACCTGTTGTCCTGAGCAACCTTGACCCATGGAACCTTGATCTGCTGCCGCTTCAACTAGATCAATATTGCCCTGAGGGTGCCCCGACGGGACACGGGCTGATGTCTTTTTCCTCGGCCTTGACAACTAGATCCAAGCCCCCAGGCCAGGTGTCCATTAAGAGCCCCTTACAAATCAAGGGGTGCTCATTCACCACCTCACCAGTGGGTCGACACACTTGAACCTCGCCACTCCTCCGCTACGACGCCGGCACAAAAGGAGTGATACGGCGGCACTCAGTCTGTGAGAAGGGCTTCGTCACATTTCAAGCGCGTCATTTTTTGAGGGGACCGAGTTTTACATTGAGAGCAAGTCCTCATTTCATTGTCACGGATGCCAATCAAAGTCCAAATTGTTGCAAAAGTTTATCGGAGACCTCACTTACTACCTCACATATTCATATATCCTCGCATACTCCCATGCTCAAGCAACACAACGCCGGCAACGGCCCGTCTCCTGCATGCGCTTGTCGATGAGCAAGTCTCTCTGCCTCCTCAAATGCTCAAGCCGCTTCAGCCGCTCTTCCTCGGAGGGCTCCACATGGCTCTCATCGGACAGCAGACGCAGGCGCCGCGCCTCCTATTCGGCGATGGCCATGCGGCACGACACCGTCTTCGTGGCCATGCGGCAAAAATCGGATCCTCCAAGCCCAGTGGCACAAGGAAAAGAGATTTAAAGCTACCCCATGGCTCCTCTCTTTGCACCCGGCTTCAAATCAACCCGCCTCGCGGCCCGAACCCGAGACCTCCGGTGTGTTGTTCCACTAAGAAAGACCGGCAGAAAAGCCTCGTAAGAACCAGCTGCAGAAACTCAAAATTGTTCCAAGGAAGTGTTGGACCCCTCCAATGGAAGGGGGTTCTGACACCGAAACGCGGTCCAAACACCTACACCTAACCCTTCTCATGTAAATTTACAAATTTCAGGGTCTAGATTCGGGCAAGAACATGTTTTTGCAAGGGACCGAACACACCGTGTTTTGCCGGTTTGGCACTTCGCTTCACTTCCTATGCTTCGTGTCCTTGAAAACCTCCGGCAGTGGCTCCACCGCCAGGGAAGCCCTACTCTTCCAGAGGCGTAGATTGCTGCGATACTTCTCCACCGCCGCCAGCGAAGCCTTCTTTGGTGGGTGCCAGGGGCGCCGGGAGGAGAATCCAAGATTTGTGAAACCGCCTGTCATGCACTAGGGGCTCCTGGCATCGCTACTAGGAGCAAGGACGCTACTAGGGGCTCCCAGTCAGGGGTAGTTCTACCAGTTTCGATCGGTTTCAATAAAGTTTCGAATGAAGGGATGCTCCACTTACACCCTCAAGGAAGAATCAAGGGGTACCCTCGTGTCACCACAGGTTGGTACCAGAAAGGCTACTCCAAAACCCATGGATTGGACTCAGACCTCGTTGGATGTTCATGCAGCAACTAAATTGTGATGGATCTTCGTTGTTCAAACATGCTCGGGTGATCCGCTTCAACCTGGTTCCGGGTGTCGCCCATCACCAATCGACCCGAAGGACACGAACACGGTGTTCAAAGCGCCAAAACATATCACGAAGCAAAACAGTGCGGTGCATACCCGAACATCGATTCGGTACCCAACACATGGATGTGCGTCTCCCGATGCGATTCTCGTTCTTTCTAGAACCAGGGACGAACTCGAAGACCCGATCGTGACCGGGGTAAATGACAAACACACATCGATTCCGAAGAGCGGAAGAAGAGCCCTGAGCTCTTGGGCCAAGAAGATTCCCTACTTGGGCCGTTTTTTATTTTTTTCGGAGGGGGAGGATTCCATAGGATTCCTCAGATTAGTCATGCAAAGGATTCGCAGCTCCAAGGTGATCACCATGCAAAATCCCAATGTTCCTAGAACATGGTCCTATAAGACCAGGGGACATTCAAATTCACTCAGTCTCAGTCGGCCCGATGGTCCTTTGGGGATTTTGGGATTCGCGTGACCGGGGTCACCTGGCTGCACGACACACGACACAAAGCGTCTCCAAACAGGACACCCGTAAGGACTGACATCCTTCGCAAACATAAAGAGGCAACACGCCACTTGACTTCGGAAAGTCGCCATAGATTGCAACATGGTATCATTACATCATCAAAACGATTTATATTATAGTCGAGTGTTGTCAAATGGACAGAAATCCTCCAAAAAGCTTACCCTCAAACATGTACCAAAGCATCTCTCATCTTTCTGGCCCAAACCTGATCATCAAATCTTCCACCAACACCGTCCACACTTCATCCACGTCCACTGGCCTCCTCCTCTTCCTCCGGTGTCGGCGGTGCTGGCACCTCCTCCGCTTCCGCGTTCTCCTCCGCCGCGGTCGGGACGGCCAGGGCGCGGGGCTTCGGTGGCACCATGCAGAGCGGCGCCGAGATGAAGCCGGCCTTGCCCAGGAGAAGAGAATCCGAAAAAGAGCAAAAATTGATGAATAATAGTTGCTTTTTATTTATGTCTCTTTGTGTTGTTGTTTCCTTTTTTTCTCGGGCCTTGCCCGGGAGCCGCGGCACCGCCGGAGGCGCCGGGGACTCGGCGCACTCGGGTTCGGCGGGCGACGGTGGTGGAGATGGCGGTGGGCGTGGCCTTGCCATCCTTAGTAGCTGGCAAGAGGGAAGATTATGTTTTAACAAAATAGTTGTCAATCTAGCACCTAGTGTTGCATAGACGTGGCAGCAGAGAAGACTGAGTCAGCTGTTGCGCTGCTGAGAGCTACCTTGTGCAGTTGAAAGTATACTGTATACTAAAGACGTAGAGTAGTTCTTTGGTATGTCCCATTCCTAGTAACAGTGGATTTTCCGCTTGGTTAGTAAAGTCCTTTTCTCAAAAACAGTGATCACTGGCGAAACAGGACACATCCCCTGTGCCTACGTCGTCGACACATCCATGGTCACGTACGTCGTGCCTAGGTGCAAGGGAGCGGAGGTGAATCCCCACGGCTTCCGCGCGACCATGGGCGCCACCGGCACCAGCCGCGGCGAGAAGGGCTCCGCGTCCGTGGCTTCCGCTGGCGGAGAACAGGACGCCTCCAGGAAGGGCTTCGGCGGCAGGTGGCACAGGGGCGCTGAGACGAAGCCGGCAGCCAAAGGCGGAGGAGGAGGCTCCACATGAAGATGCTCCTGCATGGTGGAGATGGGGTGGGTGGCTTTTGAAGAGCTGGGACGGCAGAACCGATAAACAGGTACTGGATGAGTTTGTGGAGTCTTTTGGAGACAAAGATCTTGGTGGCGGAAATGAACAGCCAGTGAAAAACCAACTTGTGAGAAACAAATGACCCCATCTTCACCTAGGCTCGGGGCGACATCCGATGGTGACGTAAGAACAGGGGCAAGATGGACGCGGGCGAGACACCAAATGAGCATATGCAGCATAGGAATCTATTATGCTATGCCAGCTGCTATGCTCGTCATCCTCAACTCGATGATTTTCACCTCACATTGGGCCGTCCTGGGCCAACTGTCGCAACTTCTCCTCCTCAATGCTTAGCGACAGCGCGATGGCCTGATGCGCACTGGCCAAGCCAGCGGTTGATTTGGGTCTCATCTTCTTTGCCCTCAAAAAACACCCGACTTGCTGAGCCGTATCGTGAGTAGAACGCTTCGGGCAGTCATGGCCCGAGGAATCTCTCTTTTCAGATCCTAAAGGAAAACCCCTCCGTTCCTGGCCACTGGCCACATCTTCCAAAGATGAACAGGTCATATGACCGATGGGAGAATTGGAGGACCCACAAACGGACAAGCAGGTCGGTGGGCCTGACGCCTTCAAAGTAGTGTCCCCACCTGAGGCTTGGAGCGCCCCTAGTAGCTTCTTGCTATTTCTTGCTCCTATAGTAGCGATGCCCTTTGCTCCTAGTAGCGTCCTTGTTCCTGGCCAGGAGCCCCGTTCGTAGCGTCCGATCGCTCCGTTCGTAGCTTCAAGACTGTCTGACGAGTCTTTCAGAATGTTCGGGACCCCACCCAGCTCCGCCTCCCAACGCGCCCGAACTCCACGCGCCATGTGGCGCCTGTTGCAGCTCCGCCTCCTCGCGCTTGCGGCGTGCCTCGTCGCTCTCGGCGCCTGCGAAGAGGGCGAAGAAGACACGTGGGGGCTCAAAGCACCAGAGCTCGACCCAGGTCCACCAGAACAAGGTTTGGGGTGAAAAAGGGGGGCTTCAAAGGTTCGTGTGAAACGTTGACCTGTGGCCTGAACAGGCAAGGGATGGGTTTTTGCCACGATACTTTGACCAAGGGATTATGAAAACGAAACCAAGGGATTCCTGAGTTCACCTTGAGGCTCTTCTGCCTGTCCCACCACCCTCCTTTTCTTTGGAGGGCACCGAACCTCTCTCCCGGAGCGGAAATCAAATTCATGCCTGGAATACTGCCTTCCTCTGGTCTTTCCTGCAGGTGTGCAAGGTCAACATGGAATCTCTCTCCCTGTACAAAAAGTCTCTCTGGGTTCACATCCATCCTTTGGATTTGCCCAAGGGGCCTGCGATTCCATGAGATTCCCTGGTTCCTTTTCCAGTTCCCTTTAGCAAATCCAAGTGAGTATATGCAGCTATGCAACAAAGCCTCAATGCCAAAAGAATAGAATACCGCAAAAGAAACTCCCCAAAAATACTATTCTGATCAACAACCCCATCCCATACCTCACCTCACGTCCCCTGCGGCTTCCTTCTTACCAGCACCAACGTCGCACCGATCGACGTGCCTGCATCCCACTGGGGTGCATCGTAGATCTGCCACTCGTCCAGGCCCGACTCCAAGGAGTTGCGCCTCGATCGTCGCCAGTTCAACGGGGAGCAGCCGCGGAGCAGTTCCCCCGGCCACAGCGTTGAACATGGTGGAAGTGGACACGTACTTTTCGTGCACCCTCAAGCAAGATGGAAGTCGGCTTTTAGCTCGGTTTGTGGAGTGGGAGTCCATGTTTCTTGGAGAACAACGGTCAGCCAATCCCGGAATTCCGTGGATCGTCCCAAGCTCGGAATGACTGAAAAACCTGTCAGATGGACTCCCTCCGGTGACACATGAGAAATCTTCAGGTCAGGTTTGTACAGGCGGCCTATGGTGGCCTGTTCATATAGTAGCATAATAGCACTGTTTCAGGTCCTCAAAGCTTCCTTTGAGGATTGAAGATGATGAAGACTTCAATGGGACTGATGACCAGACTGTCCTACCTTATGATCCGGTGCCTTCATATCGACCTTCGCTGCACTGGTTTCCAGGATGCCCACGGCCAAGAATACGGATAACAAACTCTGTCCCAGGACCAACGCGCTCGGAAGGGTTTTCATGGACACCCCGAATCAGCTCTTTTCGGAGCTATCAATAGAAACCCCTGGTCCGGGTGTCCTGGTCCATGTTCATGTCGTACATGTGTGGCGATAAAGCCACCGCTGAGAGTCGGATATTGAGAAGATCCACCGTGGTGGCTGTTGGTGCCCGCTCGAGCGGTGACCCGTGAGATTGTGCTGGGGATTTCAGGTCGACCATGGTCTACCATGCATCTTAAAGTTTGCATACAGCTCTGACAAGTAGTACACGCTGACTCACTAGCATGGAAGTGGAAAATGGGACCCTGGAAGACTACTGTCTTTCCATGTGAGTGAGTCAAAGTGTAAATGGTTTGGCAGCCCGTGGTGCAGTCCGGGACGGGCTGTCGAACCCGGGCTGTCGAAATAAACATCGAAGAGGACCTGAGAAAGGAGTACAGTATAGCACGGTAATAGGCCCAGTGGCATCGAGCGGCTAAGCGTTTATCGTTCTCTCGATCACTATTCCGTGGCTGCTGAAAACTCTTCCGCGGATGGAAAAGGTCGGACACATCTGTCAAAAGCATCCATCGTCGTCCAAACGGTGCTGTTGGCATCTCTTTCCCCGAAGCAGAATTGCGTCTCTACTCCCTCGCTCTGGGTGGCTCGCCTGGTGTCAATTCCTCGCTCTTCGCTCTTCGCCGCTCTCTTTTGGAGTCCCGTTTGAGCCAACCGAGCCACCCGAAACCCCACCCGGGGGTGAAACCAACTCCGAGCCAAGGCCCCCGCCCATCCCCGTCAAGTGGCACGACATCCGACACGAGGCCCGACAGCTGGACGCCGGGCGACTTCGGGTCGCTGTCGTCCACCGTCATGACCTGGTCGCGAAGAAACACCGCCGTAGACGACCGAAAAAGAAAGAAAGCATGTGTTCATGGGTGCAACGGGTTTGGGGACGTCGGGCAACCCCAAAAAATGGGTACCAGCCACATGTGCTGTCTACAGTAAGCAAGTTAGGGGCTCTAAAATTTTTGCTCACTTAATCACTTAGGACTTCAATGGACTTCAGGGCTTGGAGATTTGCGTGTTGCTCCTGCTTCCCCTGCTGAAAGATTTGGAAGTGAGAGAGCCAGGCTCCGTGCCCCCGCTCCCTGTCCAGCAGCTGCATTCAGTCAGTTGATTACGTGAGTGAGCCCGGTAGAAGGTTCGGCGTTGATTATGTGGAGCAGCTTCCCCATCTTCCCCTCCCTCAGCCTCGCGACAAAGATCCGCGTTGTGCTTGCACATCCTTGACGTAGCAATGTTTCCGCGGCCGGGGAGAGAAGTTTGAAGTGGTCCTTTGTGTTGGTCCCCATGGGCTTTTGGAAGTAGTACTGTTGGTGGAACAGAGTCCTGCCCTATCTGGTTGTTGGTCACTACGATGCATTGTGTGTCACAAAATCCAACTACAACGTTACAACGGGCACAAAAACCAGGATACTCCAGGACTGAAGCAAGTGCGTCCCGTTCGTGTTCTGCTTCGATCTCATTCAACAGTGAGTTGAATCTCTTAGCATCTCTTAGCCAAAAAGTCTCCCCGCATTATCCATTCAGCGAGAAGTGTCTCGTCTCCCCCTTACTTTCTCATCTCCCAGCCCTCTAGAGTGACTCGGACATCACGTTCCCAGCCCTCTCACATCGCGTGTGACGGACATCACTGCCGTTTCACTGTGACTCGTCACATGGCTTTGAAGCTCAAGAAGTCTTCCGCCGCCAAGAGCTGCTCGGCCAATGCCCGGTGCAGCGCCCCTTTCCGCAGACCCTCCTGGCCAACCGCAAGCCGCGGTGTCCGGGAAGCGTCCCGTGTGCGGCCGTGATGGTTCACGCCGTTCCGGGGTGGTTTTGCCATGCAAAGTCCCAATGGTTGACCCTTCTTCGGGGGGATCGCGCGTGGGTGATGACGCAGGTGAGTGAGTGAATGGGTAGCAGGTGTGAGTTCTGACTTGGACTCGTCCCGCCTGCAGAAAGGCTTCCACGCGCTCTTCACTGATGGAGACCTGATCCAGACCGGATCGCGCGACACGCGGAGCGACGGAGCGACGAGCGCGACGAGCGACTGCGGCTCGGCCTCTGCCAAGTGCGAGAGGAAGAGTTGTGTCACGAGCCCCTGGCGCAAGGCAAGTGGGAGGTGAGGGGTGCTTGAATTTGCAGTCGAGCGCAGAAATGTTCTGGAAGTTTCGACATGTTTCTACCCTGCCACATGGAAACGCCATGTGGTGGACCCGTGAGGGCGACTTCTTTCCCTTTCGAAACCAGTGCTTTGTTGCTCTGCAAGGCTCCAACTGATATGTTGAGCTTTCAACGAGTTGTGTGGCCCGCATCATCTGGGTGTCAAAAAGCCTTCGGGCCCAATCTAAGGTAGACTTTTGATTATATGTCACCACCCCATATGAGTCGAGGATGTTTTTCAAGAGTAACATTGGGTGGGTGTATCAATCAAGAGTCTGTCTACATGTGTCTTCTTCTTGAAAAGTCTGCGTGTCAAGTTGCCATCTCTGGATATCTCTGGAGTAACCTGTTCTCGGAGTTGCCAACATCACAGGTTCACCATCGCACAATGTCTTGCTTGTTTCGCTGTAGACGTCCGTCCGATCCATGAATTACGCCACAAAAGTCCACAAGGTTCCCACGACCCATCAGAGCTGGTGTTGTTTTGCAGTGCTTTGGACATGAGGGTCTCCTCAAAGCTCTGACAGTATATGTGAGAGCACAGTTACGACAGCAAAGACAAAATATATCAAAATATTGTATAATGATTCATGATGAATCTACCAACATGTCAAAAGGGAAAAATAGTGTTATATAAAATAGAAGTGGGTGGCTTGGAAAGTAAAAGTTGTGAAATTGTTGTCTAAAAAAGAGAAGAACATCCAATATATACCCTAGAAAACCAAAGACTATATGTTATAGTCTTCGACTCCCAGGGTATATATAAAATATAACACACACAAGATGGTTTCCCCAACAACTACACCTGGGGAGGCAACGTTCGTTGTCCCATGAAACACACGTCGGTCACGTTCGATGACCACCGCTTCCGCCTCGCCTGGAACTCTTGGTGGCACTGCCTTGGGAAGCGGAACAAAACAGCATCGAATTGACCAAATCACCTGAAATCGCATCGGATTCATGGTGCTGGATGCTCTCTACAACTCGTCATCCTATATATAGTCTGCATTGATCGAGGGGCTTTATTGATCCGTTCCTCCATCCCTTTTAAGCTATACTAAGTAGTAGCTAGTTGCTACTAGTATTTATGGACCTCGCGAGACCTAGCCAATATGGTTTCGGCGGATGGCCGGCTTACCATGGCCTGCCTCTCGGATGCGTCGAGCTCGACGCAACCGATGAAGAACCCCCAGTTGAAGAGATAGATTCAATTCAATTGGGGGGTGATTGATCAAGAGTCTACATTCTTTTTGCAGTGGGTTTCCCCACAGAATTTTTGGAGGTTGCCAAGCCTTTGTCTCACAGCTAGGACATGCATCTGTCAGCCCTATCAATCACAAATTCTGAAATTAGAACCCCAGAAGCTTCGCGCGATTCCAAGAACACCCCTCAACTCAACAGCGTTTGATGATTGAAATGATTGAAGGATCATTGGCTTTTTCAGAGCAAAACTCTGCACAATGTCATGCAACGTAAGTGATACTCCCTGCCATTAGCAAGCTGTAGGCCAGAAAGTGAGTCATTCCACTAGCTTCCAGTCTCCGAGCAGGGGCGTGTGTCATCCACAGATGGAGGTGGAAAATGGATGAAAATGGCCCCTCGGAAGACTCGTTTGACTGCTAACAGCAGAGATTCCACTTGCACGTCAGTGAGACAGCGAGCAAGCGAGCGAGCGAGGGGAGGGAGGGAGCGAGGGAGAGGGAGCAATGTTTGAACCATGAAGACCTCGGACACTCTACATTTCCAACACCACAACTCCACAACCCTTTTCACAAGAAAAGGATATTGATTGTGCATGGCCGCGGCGCTGTAACAGAGACCACAACTGGATGCACAAAAATTAGCACCAGAAAAATGCTTTAAAAAACCTTTAGATCCAATTGGATGGCACTCTCACCACAGGAACTCCTTTTTTCACTCTCATCTATGGGCCCTCCTGCCCGGTGAAGCCATGGGAAGTCACAAAACCCTTCCATCAAGCAACACATCAGTAGGTTGTGAAAAAAGATATACCTCAAGTAGCATTAAATAGGTCAAGTGGTGTTAGTCTATAGTAGTAGTTGTTTCGGTCCTGTGGGAATTGGGACGTGCTTTGTCTTTAAATGCTTTCGTGGGGCTGGGTTGTGTGGGCAATACGACGGTTTTTCTTTTAAAATGATTTCGTGGGGCGGCCCGGGCAACCGGGTGCTGCTATTCCCTGTAAATGCTGTCGTGGCGCCGGGTCCTGTGGGAATTGGGGCGCATCCGGGGCGGCGCTATTCCCTGCAAATGCTTTCGTGGGGCCGGGTCCTGTGGGGACAGGGGCGCCGCTTTGCCTTTAAATGCTTTCGTGGGGCTGGGTCCTGTGGGCAAGCCGACAGCTTTTCCTTTTCAAATGCTTTTGTGGGGCTGGCCATTGGAAACGGGGGCGCTGCTTTTCCTGCGAGCGCTTTCGTGAGCCGGGTCCTGTGGGAATTGGGACGCCGGTTTGCCTTTAAATGCTTTCGTGGGGCTGGTCCTGTGGGCTCATTTTTTCCTTTTAAATGTTTTCGTGGGGGCCCTGTGAGAATTGGGGCTGGGTTCTTCCTTCAAATGCTTTCGTGAGGCTGGGTCCTCTGGAATTGGGCGGGCCGCTTTTCCTTTAACTGCTTTCATGGGGCTGGACCCTGCGAGCCGGCGCGCGGAACCGGGCTCGGCCTTCCCTGTAACGGCTTTCGTGGGGCTGGGCCCTGGGGACCGGGGCGCCGAACCGGGGCACGGCTCTGGCGGCTGGGTCCTGGCAACGCTTGCGTTTCTAGCCTTTCCCTTGTGTTTTTTCTTGTGCTAGATTTCGTCAAATCTGGTGCTATTTTTTGTGCTCCCAGTTGTGCTTTTTCTGGTGCTAAATTTCGTCAAATCTGGTGCTAAATTTCGTCAAAGCT